GTCTGCACGGGTGTTGCGCCACGTCCCCCCCCCGCTGCCGCTGGCCGCGCGATCGTTCCACCTGAGGAGCCGGCTGGGCACGAGCCCGGGGACCCCGCCAGCCTGTGCAACGGGTCTGCGCCCTGCTCCGGGATGCTCGCGGGGCGCATGCGCGTTACCCCGCCGTAACTCCGGGCACGCGGGGTGGCCGGTCTGGGGCCACGCGCCCCCCTCGCTCCCTGCTGCAGCCGGACCCGCACGCGGCGCAGTTTGGAGTGAAAACCCGCCGGAGCTGCTAGCGGGGCAGGAGCCTCCCCAGCGCGTCCCGGCCGCTCGGCCCTGCCCGCGCTACCCTCGGGACTCGGTTCGGCATCTCTGCAGACACTGAATGGGCGAGTTGCTGAGGCTCTCTAGACCCAGGGCTGCCCTCCCCCCGGCTGCTGCTGGGCACAGGGCACCCTGTCACCGTGCCCCATAAACCCCAAGCACAGCCCTGTCTAAGGACAAACTAATATCCTGGAGCACGTCTGACACATCCAACTCATTTTGCATTGGGTGTTCAACGTGACTTCTGCTTTTTGTCAGCTGGGACTATTCTTGAGAAAGGGGCTTTAGAAGCTCATATTCCCCCCAGTTCTCTCCACCTCAGTACATAGAAGAAAAAGAGCACTTGTGATTTCATGTTAATTACAAATATGTAGAGATATTAGCCAGAGCTAATCTTGCTTTATTTTATTGATATTTCTACAGTAAATCAAGTACAATAACATGATTCAAGCCTTTTAATTTCAATGGCACTGAGAACTTTTGTCTTAGTTCTCGCACTGTGTAAGACGAGTAATGCACTCCTGCCCTCTGCAGATGCACCACCAATGGATTTTCAATGAAGTCAGGTGCAATCCCCAGTCGTTGATACATTATTACAAGCATGATAAAAATATAGTATCTGAAATGTTGGTTTTGCAACTGAACTGGAAGTTGCTTTGCTTAGACACAGCTGGCAAATTTGGCATTAAAGGTGACTAGCAAAATAAAAATGTGTTTGTGCCCCTTAATGCATATGCAGAGAGGCCATCATAAAGTTTGGTTTTCCCCAAGAAAATATATATGTTGTTCATGTGTTCCTCTATGTTTTTTCCTGGAGTACTCTGGAAAACTTGAGAAGCCCCTGAAGCATGATATCAAATAGGGACCTTGGAAGCTGCTCTCTTCCATTTCTCGAAAGGTGCAAGGTGGTGAGGCTGTGTCGAGCTGGGGAAAATGCCCAGCAGAGTCAGAGCAGAATAATATCACTGTCACCATGCTGGGATAATTTCCCATATGGCAACTCTGTTCCGGAATAAAATGGCTTTATTCTGGTATCAATAATCTGCTTTAGCTATGCTGACCATTTTCCCCGTGTACACAAACCCTTTGGCTGCGACCAGCCATGATCAACTTCCAACCTCCAGCTATTACACCCGCCAAATATTTTCCAATGCTCTAGGAAAAAGTGAGAGGTGTGGAGCTGCTATCACTAAGATAAAAAACACCCAGAAAAATAAACCCCACAGCTTGGCCAAGGGTTATGAAAGGGCATGAACACAGGGAACAGGTGCAGGATTCTGTAGAAAGATGGATTAGGAAGTGGCAAATTCAAGCAAGAGGTCCTCATCCTACCTGTACCCAGCCCTGCAAATGGGGCACTGAGAGCCAGGACCATGTGGATCTATCACCAGGCAGACCTAGCAGATAAGTGGCTTAACAAATGGGGCGGTGGGAGTGTGTGCCAGAGCTGCAGGGACCGCTGTCATCTGGAGGCAGCAGTTGCATTTTCGTCAAGGGAAAATTCTGGCCTCTGCAGACCTCCCTGGCACACAATCCTCTTACTCAGCCTGTGAGCTGAGGGGAGCCGCTGGCCCTGTCAGAGGCTGTCCATGCAATGTCAAAGAGCAGTAAATGGTGCAAACGTTTTTCTTTTGGGCTGTGTCTAGACTGGCCAGTTTTTCTGGAAAATCAGCAGCTTGAATTTCCGCAAAAGCACTGACTTCCTACTGTAAGAAATCAGTGCTTCTTGCGGAAATACTATGCTGCTCCCGTTCGGGCAAAAGTCCCTTTTGCGCAAAGCTTTTGCGCAAAAGGGCCAGTGTAGACAGCTGAGATTTGTTTTCTGCAAAAAAGCCACAATCACAAAAATGGCGCATCTAGATTGGCCACGGACACTTTTCTGCAAAAAGTGCTTTTGCGGAAAAGCGTCCTGCCAATCTAGACACTCTTTTCCAAAAATGCTTTTAACGGAAAATTTTTCCGTTAAAAGCATTTCCGGAAAATCATGCCAGTGTAGACGTAGCCTTGCAGTTCACCTTTACTTTAGGGCTTATCCTCAAGACGAGGTCTCACGTTTCAAGCGATGGTCAGACTGAGCTGGGGTCAGTCTAGAGGGAAGAGCTCTTTGTCTGCGCGGTGCAGACCATGGTCTTTGACTTGAAATAGCTCAGAAAGGTCTTGCAGGCTCCAGCCACCCTTTGGATTTTGTAGATATTGCCTCAAATCCATTTTCTTTAGCACAGGGAAAGCTTGCTCCTTTTCTGCCAGTCCCAGCAGCAGCTGCTTCACCAGCCTCCGCATCTCGTCCCTGCTGATACTGTCATAGAAGTCAGGGAGGTCTTGGCTCTTCTGCGTGTCCCACACGGAATCGGTTGGCGAGATGTCTCTGGCACTGGCAGTGTGCACACCACCTATGGCGTTGTGAAGCCACATCAGCCTCTTCAGGCCTTGAAGTGCTCTTCCTTTATCGTGCATGAACTGGTGCTCCGTCACTGCTCTCCTGCTGCAGTGGGAAAGGAGTGGCATTAGGAAGCAGAGGAATGGTCAGGGCTGTGCTCACATCTCCCATGGTGCTGGGTTGCATACACAGATTCCAGAGTGTTTCCCAAAGCTAGGTATCTATCATGATCTGCCTTTGAGAAATGGCAAAACTGAGGCACAGGGTCGGGGGATGCAACTCTCCCAAGGTCACAGAACTGCACACACAACCCAGCTCTGCAAACCCCCAAACCTGGGCTCGCTCAGTGGTCCAGATATAGGCCCCCAATTCCCAGATCCAGACCTCAACTTTATGAGCATGCATTTTCTTTTGCTTGCACAGGTGTAAATCACAAATAATTCAGTTGAAGTCAGTGGTGAAAGTGAGAGAAGAATTGATCCCTATAAACCCATAATGAGCCTGAGCAAAACTGTTGATCCAAAACACACCTGAATGCAGGGCTTGAAAATCTGGATACAAGCCAAATGCACCCAGATTTCAGCAAGTTTAGATTTGGTTGCGTGTCACAACAGGCTCAAGCTGTGTATCTGCCTTTGAAACAGGCTGCAGATCTGGAATGTTATTAGGATCATTGTCTAATAGAGATATAGCCGGTACTTGCAGCTTTAGTCTCTATGACATAATTTCTTTGAGTTACTCCACCTTTGCCTGGATTACTATGCTGTATTACAAGGTGTCTCCTATACTGCTTTTACTGTGGTATAAAAGTAACAGCAACATACAAATCACACATTAATGATCTAACAATACTGAGGGCCTGATTCTCTACTGTGCAAAGTGGATTAAAATGCTACCAAATTGTATTAGTATCATGTTAGTACAGGGCTACCTAGGGTGTGAGGTGGGTGGACAATGCAGCCCAACAGACTAAGAGCAAGCAGCTGACTCACAGCAGGTTAGTAACAGCTTTAGCCACAAAAGCTTTTTTTTTTTCTTACTTTTCAGTGTCTTCAGCTGTTGCAAAGCAAGCAAGAAAGAA